GTATACCAAGAACTAATAAATTCTTCAGTCTAACGACTAGTGAAGTGGCCGTAAAAAGTTTTATTGATTCGCTGGAACAGTTTCAAGGAACTACTTTGGCACCTTCAAACTAGTCAAAGCTAATTCATGTTGTTCGATTAATTTATGTTGCTTATAGTAATCGGATTTTTGACCTTGACTGAAATTTGTAGAGGACAAAGAACTTCCCAGTTGGAATGGGTGTTTTCAGGCGCGTATATGAACAGATTTTACAAGGTGATTTCAGGTTTGGTTCCAAAATCGTCGAAGTAAAGAGCGACGTATGAAGCAGCTGCGGTTTGGGGGTTTTCGTCCCACCCGGCGGAGTCGAAGCGGTCGGGACGAGCTCTGTCAGGATATGTTCCAAAATGGTTAGTTTTTTTTTATGTTTAGACTCCTTCTAACTGTAGCTGATATCGTCGCAATTACTCGGGGCGGTGTCAGGAGGGGCGCAATGAGTCCGTCTCCGGCTGCTTTTACCCACGTATAGTGATCGGCTGATTGATTCACGAAGAAAACAATCAAAGATGAAAATGTGCCGGAAGGCTTATTCCATTCCTCTTTTCCTGTTGACATTACTGCCCGGACGTACTGCGACGATAGCGACTGCACCATCCAACCATCCACGATGATGGCAAGCAGGGCCAAGCATCCACTGAGGATCCTCTGTGCGGAAGGGGCGTATTTGCTTCGCTGGAAGAGGGGTCGTAAAAAAAAAACGGTAGCCAACAGAACTGTGACAAGATGTGTGCTATATAAGGGTTAAAAGCGGTACTGTAGGGCGGCTCTGAAAAAACATATCCCTTCGCGAAAGCATTCAACATGCTCCTAACTACAAGGAGTAGATAGTCTCAGGAACTTAGGCTCCTCGTAACCGAGAAAATGTCTCAGCGGAGCATTTTTTGACTGGACTTTTCCGAAAGATTCTGATGTCGTTAGAAAGAGAAAATGTTCTTCTTTCCTGCACCGGTTTTTCATATGTCCCGGGTATTGCATTATCTAAGTTATGGTGCCAGCCAAGAAAGTTTTGAATCGGGAGGCTATGGGTAATTCTCATCGTGAAATCGGAAAAGTTCTCAACGGCAGATTTTTTAAATGAGGGATTTTCCGAAAGTTTTTTCTTCGTTGGAGAAAGAAAATCTTTCTTCGGTTTCCCTGCTTCAGCTTTTGCTTTTGTCCAGGCTTGAAACTCGCACTCTCTGTAAAAATTCTCCAACTCGTCTCGCTCTCCTCCGAGCAAAGTGTAAGATCTGCCGTCACATTTGTGACTCGCTTTAGTAGCCTTCTGTTGAAAGCTTCCTGGCGAGATTACGCAAATTCGCCCTAGAAAGCTTTGCGAATTTTTCGCAGAAGGGAAGTAGCAACTTTAGAAAATCCTCGAAGTACAGTAGTGGTGTGTGAGGGGAAGTGCCGCCGCACAGAAACACGGGCCGCAGTGAAAGAAAGGCATTTCGCAATAACGTCGTTTCAAGGGTCTCAGGAATGTATCGTGGCCACGCGCGGAACGTGTGCTTCTTCCTTCGTTTTCCCTTCTTCCTTCTTTTTTCTTCCTTGCTTCACTCATTTCTTTATTTTCCTTCCTCTAAATGCTCATACAGAAGATGCGATAAGAAAACACCTCCTGGACCCTCACAGTAGTAGCATCCGGTTGCAACGGATTGCTTGTAACCAGTTGCTTGAGGTCGCCACAGTTTAGGCCTGTGTTTACCTGCGTAGAGAGGCGGAAGTAGTACGCGACACATTTTTCAGGTTGGGGGGGGTTGTATTGGTGGCGCAGTTTTCTTAAGTGGTGGCCTGACCCTGATGGCACGGGGAAAAACAGGAAGTAGAAGTCTCATAACTAAGCGATTTGTCAGCGAGAAATATAGCCTTTCTTCGCCTTCCTCTACCCCAATCATGCTTTTGTGGGAACTTGGGCCCTCACCCCTACCCTAGATTTTCGTGTACTTTCAGCTAACAATTTTTGCCTTGCTTGTGGTCATGCGCATTAATGCTAGGTCATTAAAGGCACGGTCCGCGGATGCAGGTTATCGAAGTTGAAAATATGGCGTCAGGAGGTTAGAGTGGTCCGCGACGGACAACCTTGCACCGGTTCGCGGCGAAAAATTCTAAGGGAGGGGCGCTGAGCGCAAATATATGGTCAGTGGTTGCCCTGCCTTTTTTTGGGCAAGTGACTCGCGGTAGATCGAAGCCTCCAAATGCCGGCTTTCAGTGAAAACGAGATTGCAGGACGAAAAAGCATGAAAATCGTCACTTGTACGATCGTAGAGTTCTTATCGGTGAATCAGCTGTGCGTATGAGGGCGTAGTGTGGGAGATAGAGTTAATTGGGCACGTACAAACTGGGATCAAAATGGGGTTCTATCTAGGGCAGGTGGCATGTTTTTTGTGCTTTTTTTCTTCACTGTCGAGTTACTCAACCCCTTGTCGTCTATATGGAACCCCCTAATCCACTATCTGGGATGGCGAATAATCGCGGGTTCTGCCTTTAATGAATGAATTTGTGAAGTCGTCGAATCTCTTGAAAGATCCTTCAATCACAGCACGTCCTAAGTTGGGGAATCCCCAGCGGAGAGGGGGGAAAGTCGTATATGGTCGCTAGAGGAAGGGAGGGGGGGGTCATAACTGGTGTGGAAAAAAATTTTATAGTGCAGTTTTCCCTATTTCGTGGGCGCTAATTACTTCGCTGGGAGAATTCCAGTGGAAGGGGCGTATTCGCTCATCGCTGGAAGAGAGGGGGGTCGTAAGTCGTACTCGCTCCGGAAAGAAATTTGCCGCATTCGGACCACTCAAAGCCAGTAGTTGGTAAGAGGGAGGGGTGGGTCGTAACAGAGGACAGCATTAGAGGGTTGGTCGTATTTTTCAAGAATTTTCTCCAGCAGCAGGACGTGCCCTGCTTCTAATGACTTTTGTCCTTTGATGGCTTGCATGACCTCTTGATGAGCACCAAGCAAGTGCCAGCCGTGCGTTGCGCGTTGATTGCGGTGATTACGCGCATTGCGTCATAATACGCGGACCGCAGGTGACACCATCGTGACCATAAACCGATGATTGCCATATGCATCAGCGAGTCTTGAAGGGCCAAAACACTTGACTTGAATCTGCCTTTGGCTTAAGAACATCTCGAACCGTTTGTGCTTTCAGAGGGACCACCGCCAGGATTCTTCAATCAACATCCGATCGGCTTCTTCTGCGATCCGTACGGTGAGCGAGGGCCGTTACCTCCACTGCCTGCTTTCCCCGTCGCCACCGACGCCCCTCATCCGTTAGTGCATGGTGAGAGTTGAATAATTGTTTTTTTTAATTTGTCTTAAAAATGGAAGGTTGTAAACGGATGAGATCTGCCGATGTAGTTAAAATTTTCGGAGCCGTTAAGCGGCGGGTGGGAGGGGGGAAAGGTTGCTCTGCACTTTAGCTGCTTCTTGTCGATGCGTCGACCCATCTAGACAGCCATTTCGTGAACTTACAGGAGTTGACAGGTTCACCACGATGCTTAGAGGAACTTGCTCCAGCTTCACAGGGAACCACAGGCTTCATTAGAGTGAGAGTTGTAAACCGGAAGTGGTGAAGCAGCGAGAGTGCAATATGCCCCCCCCCTGTTGCCAAACTGCGCCAAAATTTTTTATGCGAATATGTCGGTTTGACATTAATCA